CTCATTTTGCATCAATTTAAATAAAGTATCAAACAACAGTTCATCATGCAAACCATACCGTCTTTTATGCTGATGTCATTCTTTATCCATACTGTTAATGGTGATCATCCAAAAATATTTTAAAACAAGTCATACAGCAGAATGGTGCTTGACATTACTTTGCCACTGCAAATAATTGTTTTCAGAGAAGAAGGCTTCTGATCAGATTGAGGTTTCTGTGACCTTTTGTGCAACACGACAAGCAGCTAACTTTGAAAGCACGGAAACATTAAAGGAGGTGAAATGCGAAACTTGATGAATTGGATTACATTAGTTTTTTAAAAAATTTCGTTGTCTGCACTCACAATTTTACTGCTTTTTAAAAATCCTTTCTCTTGATATTAATTTGTGTTGTGTCAAGATGTGTTTGCCAGACAAGGCAATTGCTTTTGTTGGATGTACAATAACAGGCCAGCTATGAGAAGTAAGCATTTGAATTTAGCCTGGATACTCAGATTACATGGTTTTGTTGTGTGCGTAACATTTTTGTTATTTTAATCATTGGTATGCCGATTAGCAGGATAACTTAACATTGTTGTTACAAACAAATTTAGCACGAGAAAAGCATAGATTTCAATGATTTATACATTATCAGCTTGTCTGGTCAAATGTATGCAAAATTCATAACCTTCTCTCACCTTAATATGATCCTCACCATATTTTGGGCACTACTCTACTGCTTGGTTGGTAGCTATACTGAGCCACCGCGGTGAGTATTAATGCGACGCAAATATTTGAACCCAGTGGCTGACATGAGTAGCCACGCTGGTGTGCTCAAGCCACTGACTGAATGCATTCACTTACATATGTATATATACATGCAAATGCCGAGACTCCAAATGAGCGTATTTATGCTGAATAAATTAAGGTAGATGGTGCCTACAAGACCAGTCACTCCAACGATTTATTTATTCCAAACAATCTGTAGGCTTTCACTTATCCACACTTCAGACATCTGTCTGCTGTTCCAGTGGAGGCATACAGTCGATTGGATGCGCATGCAAGCATCAGCCTAACTCCTCACTACAGAGCCACTGCCTCCACCGAATTCGGCGCATCAGTCCCAAAATTCACCTGCTTGAGTCAACGCTCTGATCTCCACCGCGTAGATTTCAGTACGCTAATGACACTGAAATGCTTGAGGTGTTTTTTGAGAGTGACTCA